GTAGTCGCCGTTCATCTGCGGGGGGAGGATGGCCGAGCGGGGGCGGGGCGAGAGGATGGACGTGGGCGGACTAGAGGAGGAGGAGTGGGGGGAGTTGAGGATGGAGGGGTTCTCGATGTAGGAGGAGGTGGAGGTGGTGAAGGAGGAGAAGATGTTGAGGGGCGGCGAGGAGACGGGCTCGCAGGGGGAGGGGGAGGGGTCGGCGGTGGAGCCCCACGAGGGGGAGGGGTAGGCGGCCGAGTGACGCGAGGGGGAGGTCGAGAGGGTGGAGCACCACGAGGAGGGCGAGGAAGAGACTTTGTTCGTGGCCGAGGAGAAGGCCCACGTGTCGGCCGAGTTGCACTCTTCGCCGTCGGAGCCGCTCGTCGGGGCGGTGGCTCCAGTGGCTGTCGCCGCCAGAGGGATGTTCAGTGAGGTAGGTAAGTAGTAAGAGTCGGCTGGAGTCGGGGTCGGCGTCGCCCCTGTGGCTCCCGCCGAGGGCACCGCGTAGCCATTCAAGTGGTTGTGGTTCTCGTTGTGGTTCTGGGTCCCGTTGTGGTTGTGGTTCTGGCTCGGCACCGGCACGGCGGCTCTCCCTTTGGCTTTCGAGCAGGAGTTGGAGAGGTTGATGTAGTTCTTCGTCTCGCCGCGGCTGATGGCCGGGGTCATGAACTCCGTAAACGGGTCCACCAGGTCTGTCGACTGGAGGTGGTCCTCCACGTGCTTGCTGAATTGCTCTATGAAGCCGGGCTCTTGCAGCACGTCGCAGTTCGAGTTGGCGTCTTCCAGATGCTCCAACACCGTTAGCGGGATCTCGCACGAATCCAACTGAAACAGAAAATACCCTTTTATAAAATACCATTTTGGCTTAGCTAGCTCATTATTGAAATTGTAGACAACGCAACAGACGAAGGAGACAATGGGATAACCGGAGCGATCCTATTGGTTGAAAGGAGTGATTGTTAAAGACTAAGGAGGTCTATTTTAGACTGATAGACGGACTACGGTCGTTGGTGGGTTGCCAGTAGTTAGTCGATTACTCTTACCTCCTTTGTCCCTGCTATAACCACCCGCCTCCCCCAATAGGATCGCTTCATTTTTCCTTTGTCTCTCTGTCTGTATAGCTTTTTCTTCTATCAATTTCATTATTCAGCCCGCAGCATTTTTATTTAGATATATATAGCAGTTTTTAAAAGTCGTGCACTGGAAAAAAAGAAAAACACATTGGAATTAGAGTCCAGACTCTTGAAAACATTGACAAGAATACGGACTCATGATTCAATCAGATTTAAGCTTAAATCAAAAGGAAATCCGCTCAAATTAAGAGGCTGGGTTCTTGATTTAAGCTTAAATCTGATTGAATCAAGAGTATTTTTTCTTGCCGATGTTTTTAAGAGTCTGGACTCTAGATCCAATGTGTTTTTTTTTTCCAGTAAGCCAAACATGGGGAGCGATTCGGAGCGTTTTCAAGGATGTGAGAATAATCGGACGTATATTTGTGCTGAAAGGAACTATGTGTAAATGAAAAGAATCCAACAGTAACAGTTGATGTTCAAACAGATGTTCACAGGATTTCCATGCTTTCTAAAAGTAAGTTAGTTAGTTAGTTATTATAATTTTGAGACATTCAGCGACTCAGGCTATTAACGTCTTTACAGGTAATTTTGAAAATATATAGGAGTATAAACGAAAATTTAGTAAGTTGCCATTGGTTCAATTCATTTACGCATGGTTCTTCTCAGCATAAATACATTCAATGCCTAATTTTAGATAGAATTTTGACTGCGATCATAGACCGTCTTCATTTGTGACAGGGTCTGTAAAAATGGATCTTATCTTCCAAAAATTAATGCAAAATTGAGTGATTGGCAGCAATGCTTAGAGGGGGAAAATCGGGGCATTTTAACGCGCAATTGAGTTTTTCTTTCTTTCTTCTTTTAACCGTGAAAGCTCGAAAATTGAGGTAGATACCTACTGAAGTTCCAAGAAAAAAAAATCTTTTGTTTAGAGTTAATTTTAGGTTTTTAATTCTGACATATGTACAAAAAAGGAAGAGTTAGCCCCATTGTCGTGCGAAAATTCAACTAAAACCCCACGTAGCTTGTTCGCCAGGCGTCAGCGAGCGTGTTCCTCCGAGAACTCAAAATCGCCAATTTTGACCTTTTCCCCCAAATTCGGCTCTCCCGGATAATTTGCTCCCGACAGATAAGGTTACTTTTCATAGATTCTACCAAATTTCCTTTTTTTTCCTTGGGGGCGGGAAGATTTCGGAAAGAGGGAATAAAAAGCAAGAAGACACCGATTTTAACCGGAGAAAATGTGTTAGATAACAGCGGCAGGCTAGTAAAGTTCAAGCAAGAAGAGGAAAATTTTGATGAAAAATGTTGTGCCGCCTCGAGAAAGATCATTCGATATTTCACTGCAACAATTGCACATTATCACCTAAGTAGGTAGGGGAATCCCGAGCCCAATTAGATATGAGGAAGTCAGCGCCGAAAAATGAGAAGTGACGTAACAGGCTTCAAACAATGGGATCCGGATGAAAAATTAGACGGCGGAATTTTACTTTCTATAAGCGGGCCATTTAATACACGCCCCCTTCCCCGAGCTGGGTCCTTGACTGGAGGAAAAAGCTTTGAAACCGAAGTTCGAAAGCGAAAAAAGTCCATTAACATTCAAAGCGGCCGAAAACGAAAGTAAAACACCGCACGTGTGAAAATCGTAACGCGTTTTTTCGAGGAGATTAGACACCTTTTTGGGGGCGTCACAACTGTCGAGTACGCGACTCCGTACTCGTTAAAATAGTTCGGCATTGAGTTCCTAATGAGCCCTGAGATGTATTCGGACGCTGGTTTTACGGGGTCTATGTGAAATATTGACGTGTTCCCTTTTCGTGAATAATGCCGGCGTCATAATGCACATCGAGCGGTCAGCGGGTCTTACCACGACAAAATGAAGACGGATGCAGGACGAAGCGTGGGTGTGGCTTTGCCGAATCCAAGCATCTCCGCTTTGTTTTAATGTTCTTCTCTGGTTCGAGGGGTGAAGTGCGCCGCCATGTAAAGTAAAAACGCAGAATGAGCCTTTAGACGTAGCCAAATTTCCTTTGACATATCAAGAATTTTCGGGGAAATTAATAGGTCACTGGTAAAAAAAAACCTCTTGGACCAATGCCGCGGTGCATTGACTTAAGAGTGCAGTTTCTTGTCGCCGGATTTAAGAGTCTTGAACTCTTGTTTCAAGCGGATTTTGCATTGATTCAAGCGGATTTTGCATTGAAACAAGAGTCCAGACTCTTAAATCCGGCGACAAGAAACTGCACTCTTGAACCAAGAGGTTTTGTCTACCAGTGGTTTTTTCTTCCGAATTTTCAGGGTGTCTGTTCGTAATTTGATCTAAAGTCAGGGTTGCCACAGAATTTAGAGGACGAAATTCCCTGACATTTCCCTGATTTTCCTGACAAATTTTGGTGAAATTCCCTGAGAATTGAAGATATGCCAGATGGTGAAAACGACATAATTACAGATAGTTTTCAGGCGAATTTGTTGTTCAGAACGTCAGACCTTTCTTAGAGAGCAAAAAAAGGTGACATAAGGATTTTCCCCTGACATTTTCGTCATTTCCCCTGCCATTTCCAGGTTTTCCCTGACTTTTAAAAATTTCCTGACATTTCCCGGTCTGCCCCGTATTCCCTGACTGTGGCAACCCTGTAAAAAGTCTGAAAATTTCAAGGAAGAGTATTCATACTTCTCCTCGAATATGAATGTTTTCGGAGGGGATATTTGGCAACGTTTGTACGTTCATACGATGTTTTTCCTTATCATGGTGGGGTATTTCCGCTGAGGAGTGACCGAAAATAAAAAATCTTAAATAATGACTCGTGGTCTAAAAAATAAGGGGCCGCCGGTGACTGAGAAATCGTAATTAGACACTCGTTATCGAGAATAAATTTGAGTCCTTATGAATGTGCACACACGAGGAAAGAAGGAGTTTCCTCTTAAGACGGCCCTAACTAACAATCATGAGAAAGAACCAGGAGATTCCCCCTACGCCTACGGGCCGATTGTTGACATTGATAGACACAAAGATAGACAAAAAAGGCAATAGAAAAATAGAGCGATCCTCTACAACCACCGATGATTCCATCTATTGGATCGCTCAATCTTCTCTTGTTCTCCTTTGTCCATCGATTCTCATGTAAAAGTTGGCGAGAAACACGATGGTGCCACTGGTTTTCTCTGAAATCAACTCCCAAGCTCAAAAAAAGCTCTCAAAGTGAGGCCAAAATGGAGGGGAGATCCCACCCTACCCTGAGAGTCCACCTCTACATCAAAACAAACTCTCCATGCAAAGATAGGGAGCAAATACATTAGCAGGGTTGCCGTGTTTTCAGTTATAGAGTCCCTAAATCAAGTGGCAGCCCTGTCGATGTATTTGCTCCCTATCTTTGCATGGAGTTTGTTTTGATGTAGAGGTGGACTCTCAGGGTAGGGTGGGGTCTCCCCTCCATTTTGGCCTCACTTTGAGAGCTTTTTTTGAGCTTGGGAGATGATTTCAGAGAAAACCAGTGGCACCGTCGTGTTTCTCGCAAACTGTTCCATAAGAATCAACAGTCAAATCGCAAATTTCTCACACATACAACATCTCCATCGGCTCAGTTACGCGCATGCGAAGAAGCGGCGTGACCTTGAGAAACTGATAAGTGCACTGATCGTGGACCCGGGTGGATCCCTCTGAAAAATCGAGCAGTAATAATGTCGGTCTAGCGGCTGTCTAGCGTTCGCGTAGGTGAGCCAGCAACAAGGCGAGGAAAATCAGGGGTGAAGGCTCGATGCAGTCAGACACATTACGATGGGATGCGTCCGCGTTAACGAAAGAAAATACGCGTCGCGACGGGACAACATTAATCAACGTGATGGTCTTCAAACAATGGATACTCCAACACAGTTGCCAACCCGTAATAGAGTGAGGAATTATTCCCATGTCGAAGGAGTCTGTTTCCGCCTGCATACGTTGTGAACTCACGATTCAAACCACTAATCTTATGTTGGCTCTTTGTCTACAGACAACCAAATCTAACGCTTGACAGAGGGCTGATTCTTGAAATTGATAGGCAAAACGATGGGCAAAGGAGGCAATGGGAAAAAAAAGAACAATCTTATTTCAACCGACCGCTTTAATCTATTGGATGGCTCCATTTCCTCTTGTTCTGCTTTGTCTATCGCTTTGTCTATCAATGTCAATAACCAGCCCGCTGAGCCCCACATGGCCCTTAGGTAATGCCACCGTGAAGTGCAAAGCCAAATAGGATTCAGGGAAAGTTGAGGGATCCTATTGGTGCAGTGAATAGTCGCAGTATGTGCAAAGGTTGTCAAATCTAGACAAACTACCAGCAACACATGGGAGACCCTGTAGTTAGTCGATCATTTTCCCGCTTAGTCTACAACACCGACCCGTTTCAACCGATAGGATTTCTCAATTTTTCCTTTGTCTATCGCTACGCCTGTCAATTTCAATAATCAGCCCGCTGTTTTCTGTCCTACCAGAAAGTTGACGACGAACCAAAATTCACACCGAAAGCTGTTTTCGTATCACTGTAGATTTTGAATAAATGTTTTTGGTTCATTGAAAATTGGCACAATTGGCACATTATTTCTTAAATTTCTCCAAAAATCTTGGAACTACACTCAAAATTGGCGGGAAGCGGGGCTCTAGGCAATGTCACGTGTCACTTTCAGACGACACGGTGCGTATTTTTGGCGAATCTTACCTTTTGAACTTATATTGAACTGATAAACTTAATTAATTTAAAACTGGCATGGGGCAGC